CCACACAAGCTGAATAGCAACAGCAATAGCAGCAGCAAAACAAATCGTCACACTAAGTTAAGCGTAAAATGATAAAAAATGACCATGAGGAACCCACTAAAGTTTTGCTTTTAAAACAAGCGTAAAGAATTTCTGTATCTACACGTTTTTTGTCCGAGTATTTTTAGTACACATACAGTTGCGGTCCAAAATACAGCTCCACAAAAAAAAATTATTATTCCTGTTACCAGACCATTATTTTTATATGTTTTTTATGATCACTGAATCAAAATCCGACGTCCATCCAACCCCATCACGTCAAGGTTTTTTCAACCCTGCCACCCCACTCCCGGAAAAATCAATAAAAGGATATGAAAGACTATGAAAAGCCTGACGTGATGGGATTGAATGGACGTCGGATTTTGATTCAGTGATCAAAAAAAACATATAAGAATAATGGTCTGGTAGTTGGAAGAATTTATTTTGTTTAGTTTTTAAAAATTTTTTGGGTATGCAGTTAACATGCTTACAAAATTCTAGTAAAATAAGTGGAAGTTTCGAGTGGCTAAAAATTGCATTGACTTTTAATCTTTTTTTTTGTTGGCAGTGTTTTGCACAATATGCGCAAGACGGTGTGCAAAAAAAAAAAAGTAAACGCCAGTTTACCTAAATTTCCCTATTTATATGAAAAAACCGTAAACCGCGTCAGCAAAAAAAAATATCAAAAATCAGTGCGATTTTATAGCCCTTCAAACTTACCCAAAAAATTGCTGAAAATTCTGGTTAAAAAGCTCGAAATTTAGATACAAATTTTTGGAATTTTTTTAAGTTCTGTATAATGTTCGAAAGTGTGATTTATATAGTTTTTTGTAAATCATGAAACATATTTTTATAAAAAAATATCAAAAAAATAAATAAATTTAGATTGAAAAACATTGTAAATGTTAAAAACGAAACACCATTCATCCATTTTTGACCGCCACTGTATGTTCATATGGCTATAAATAAATGCATGTGTGCTTGCTGTGTAACAAATAGATTAGAGTACGCCTTCCAGTTGGTTATAACTAAAGTAAATGGTTTAGGTATATAAGGCGGTAAATATTCTACATATATGTACAAATACTATATACTTATTTATATGTTAATATATCACAAACGCGACTAAGTGAGAAGTTACAGAGAATTTCCTCTTTAGTAAGATAGCCAATGAGGTTATGTGAATGAAAGTATGTATTCATATTTTCATACACTATTTTTACATTTTAAATTATAGCAAAAATTTGAAGGAAGCACTAAATTAGTGCCAATCACATGCGGTTATGGCACCTAGAAGCAGGGGCCGAAAATGCGTTCCGGTATTGGCTTAGAGAAGAAAAACGAGAACAATGGTTTTGAGAACTTAACGTTAAGTATAGAAGTAGAACCATGATTTTTAAATCTAAGCCAGAGGAAAGTTGGTTTATTCCAACCTCCAGATCGTTTAGCGGACCCTACTATACATTTATGGAAAAAATTTTCATTTCATTTGCAAGAAAAGTTCTTGTCGCATGGCTTTCGTTGACCTAATTCGCATAATTATCTTTCAGTTATTTTTTGTTTAATTTTAGTACTCCACAAAGGTATAGGTTAATGTATAATACTCTTTAAGGATATCTCAAGATAGACAACGTTGTTACATGGAGACGAACTTCTGTATTGTATATTCCAGAACTAGGCAAAAAAGGCGAATTTCAGGCAGAATATTTTCGAAGATAAAATTTTAGACAACCACATAAGAACAAGTATCCTAATGACAATGCCGTTATACCATTACTTCATCTGTCTTTATTTTCATGACGTAGGGCACTGCTGTAGACAGAGTGACCTCAACCATGATTCCCATTTCTAAGTTGTTCAGAGAAGATATGGTCAAGAGAACAGACTTAGGAAAAGTTTCAAGATCTAACCAGACAACAAATCGGCCTGCATCTGGGCAATTCTTGAAAAAAAACCTTACGGCCGCAAACCCATACCAGAATCTTTCAAGCCAAGGTTTACGTCATTAATATTTTGCAAAGTAAATATTTCAGAAGACAGCACTTTAAGCATTTATAGCGGCAATTAGGCTGCACTAAAAGCTATATCTTTCTGGCCATTCAGGGTAACGAGAAGCCTGACAGGCTGGGAAGGGAAAAAATGCTACTCAGCCAACAGGATAAGAACCCTTCATTGATAAAGACCAAATGATTTTCAGCAAGAGTTAAGATTAAATAAGCAACTGCTTAGAAGAACCCATTTGGGGCACTTACCTTGGCTGAGGCAGATTAAAAAACGTTTACTAAGTTACAACTCCAAGAGATTTGAGAAGGTAATGCATAACTAAATTAATTTTCAAAAAGTGTTTAGTTAGTTTTTTTAACGAAATACTGAGTACAAAAGTACTTTTTATTTATAGCTGCACTTAGTACTCTATACGAAGTCCTGAATAAATACCAAAAGCTCTTAAAAAATACCGAGAATTAAAATAATTCGAAAAATGGTGAAAATGCTGTAGTATTTCTTGCACTAAAACTTGCTAAAAAATAAAAATCCAATTCAAACCAGTTCCCATATGTGCTTGTTTATTACTACTTACTTTTTTACATTCTGGGACTTGGAAGGTTGCGAACTTCGGCTACTTTCCTCCGCTAAGTGTTTTAAAATTCGCCATAAATGCAAAAATTCCACATCTGCAGACGTTTTTTTTTTTTGATGCGTGGCATCATTTACAAATGTCAGGAAGTTATACATCTGACACAAAGGCAGTATATCTTTGATGAGCATCTGCTCTCAAGGATAGCGTCCATTTAATGGTCGAATCATTTTCTAGGTTTAAAGAGGACAGGTACTTTGTTCTAGTTTGATTTATAACTTTCAATTTTACACATCATCTGATTTAAAAAGAAGAACATGTCGCCTTTTCCCGTCACATGCGCTTGAATTCTAAAGAAGAACATGTGCATACATACTTATGTTTATCCCACATGCAAATATAATTTTTTACTGCAAGTTCGTGTCTACAGTCTTTTGTTTATCATTATAGTAATAGCAAGTACCGTTGATTCTAAGCCATTGTTTAACGTGGGTTAGCATTTTCCCGTCGTATGCGTTCTTTATTATTTCTATTCTTTTGTACATAAACATAACTAGTAATGAAAATAAATGCAAATTACATGCATACATACTTATTTAACCAAGTATTACAGTAAAGTAGCTGCCTGCTCCTATATATTATTTAGCTGTTTATGCAAACATCTATTTATTTGCATTATGCTCGTGTGCAATAAGGAAGTAGAAATACTTAACCGTTATTGCAAATAAGCCACTTGCTATCGCTAAGCTAATATTATGACTAGTATGCAATAATAAAGCATGTGTTGAGTAGAAAAAAATAAACAGCATTTAATGGCTGCCGAACAGTCTGTTAAGAATCAGTTAAGGCCTCACTCAGAGTCTATATTATTATGCAAGTACCAAAGTAGACATTTAAAATGCTATATTATATTTGATGGTTTAATGGACGGTGTCCATTACTTTTAAAAGCAGCTGCCTGTTTATTAGAAAATAAACATTTTTATTTTTAAATGAATTTTGATGGTTCCTTAAAAAGCGACTGACCAAGACGCTCTTTTGACTTCCGTTGTAATATTTACATAAATAAAATTACAAATTAGATAAACTCAAGCTAAGGTTAGTTCAAAAGGTATGAAATTCACACTCAAGTTTACGTAAATCTTTTTAGCAACTTTTTAGTGATTGCTAATATTTTGCAACACCAAGCCCGTTGATTGATTGCTTACTTAGTTGTGAAGGGAATGTTCAAGCAAATACATTTACTGCCGCGAAGAGCTTTCACAAGCGCCAACTTCCTTTGCTTGGCGCAAGTAAATGCTTAGATAATAATGCTTTTATATATATTAATCAAAAGTATTTATGTACATAAATGTGTATAAAATCTTGACCAAAGCGGAGAGATGAAAATGAAATGAACAAGGAATGAAATTTCGAACAGCTTTTGGTTAAAAACGTATTGGGTTTAAAAATGACTTTGCAAAAATATCCAGAAACAATGGCCTTACTAAAGGGGCTTTCTTCATAAAAAAGTCATATAAAAAAAAATATTTTTTAAATATATAATGTGTACAATAGGGTGCCTCACCAAAAAAGAAGTAACTATAATATTTCGTCTTCATTTATATAAGTATACTGCCCTGTAAAAGTGTGGACTCACTTGAAAATACCGTTTTTTGTTTTTTATTCATCGTTTTAACTATGGATTCATCGGTCCATTATTTGTTATTTTCAATAACTTTATGCAGACTTTCTTATTATAAGCTTAATCTCTTCTATCTGTGATGTGATTTCTTGGGAAAAAAATTTAAACCAATTTTTTTTGAAAAAAAAAAATTAAATTTTTTGAGGTATTTTCAAATTGATTCAGCTCACGTAAATACTAATACTTTTCCGAAATATTAGGCGTGTATTTTTTATACGCATACATACGTATCTGCGCTTAAAATTTGTATGGAGCTATAAGCGACAAACTTCTGGTGTGCTTATGAATACTTGCCGATAAAATCAAAATTACTTGTTTTTAAAGGGAAATTGTCGATACTTATTTTTCTACACATTAAGCGTAGATGTACATATATGCGTGTAAAACAAAATGCGCCTATTGTGGCAGAAGTCTCAAAATATAAAAATATAAATGCCCGGTAACCATGTAAACCTCGTAAACTTACTTAATTTTGTATGGAAAATCGATTTATTTACGGGGTTACGAGGCATTTATGCGTATCCATGAATACTCAAAATAAGGTTTATATTTCCGTTGAAAAAATGTTACCATTTTATTTGGTATGGAGAGTGATGCACCCTAATATACATACATACATTTGTATATGGGGTCGCATTTATCTCTTATTTAAATAAGAAAAAAATATATTCAGAAAACTGGAACTTTAATAAAAATTCTCCCTTTTTCTCCACCATCTTTCCAGGACGACGGCGGCATTGAATTCTTCAACACCATTGTCCTGCAGCCACATCTGAAACTCATTACCGATGCGGGTCGTGGCTATCATGTGCGTTGTTCGTACAAGAGCCGTGATGCGGCGACCAGTTCGCCAAATAAGAAGCATACACAACGCCGCAAAGCTAACAGTGGCAAGCATGCGCAAAAACCACAAGCATATCGTAGCGCTGAAACGGTGGCGGCGGCCGCTGCAGTGGGGGCGAGTGGTGATCGCCGCGATTATGGACGCTCATTGGATAAATATCGTGCCACTGGCGATGAATTCGATCAGGAAGATGTACTCGACGACGGCGGCAGCGATTATACTTTGGACGAGGGCAATGATGAGAGCTTGAATGAGATACCAATGCCCGGCTGCCATATGAAAATTTACAATTCAGAGCTTAAAATTGCTGACGATGTGAAAATTGGCGATCCGCTGACGATTGTCATCAGTATTGACAAACAGGAGCTATACGGACTGCATGTGACCGATTGCATTGTGCGTGACGGTTTGGGTTGGGGCGAGCAACGGCTGTTGAGCGAAGATGGGTGAGTGAGAGATGAAGGAGGAGGAGTATAGTGCATATATATATATATATATATATATTCAAGAAACTGATAATACTGAAGATCTAGAGCATATAGATTTTAGAAGGGAAGATGATTCAATAGGAAAGAAATAAAGAGCAGATTAGGCAGAAAGAAAAAAAAATCAGAAGCCAATAAGAACTTTTAACTCAATTGAACTCTTTTTGAAAAAGCATATTTTTCTTGTCACTATTTTACGATTTTTGGACTATTTTTCCCTTAATCTTGCAAGCTCCACAAATCACTTTTATACCTTTGTCAGGTAAAACTATTGAGAATTTTGCCACACTCTTTAGAAATGCATTTAAAAATATGAATTTAATCAACAATTATTGAGCCGAAATCTATATATTCATACGCTAATATAAATTTCGTCCACTTTGGTTTGGCGATTGTACCGAAGCGATTGTTAAAAACCAAGAACACCATTGGAATGCGATTTTTTTGTAGAGTTTGTAGAGGAGAGTGCTTATGATTTTAAAATTTGTTGAAAATTACGGCCAAAATCATCCGCTCAATTTGAGTCGTTTTCGCATTTTATTTTACTTCGTATTTGAAATTAAACTTTGTACTAAAGATAATTGTGATGCTGAAGAAATAAATGTTAAAAACGATTAGGACCAAAAAGTGAAGGCAAAGTTGAAGACAAAGACGAAAATGAAAACAATGAGAAGTACATAAGAATTGGGGTAATCGAAATAAATGCGGAAGTTATCGAATCATCGAAGTTTATAGATATCGAAATTTATCGAGCTATTCATTTTTATTGTGTTACCGCAGCGTATCGAATTGTTCAAATTGATAAATATTTATTCAGTTGTCCAAATTTACGGTTAGTTATTAAGCTATAAAAATTGAAATGGTTATCGAATTTTGTCAAGTTAATGAACTTTATCAAGTTATCGCCATTTATCGAATTATCATTATCTATTTATAGACTAACGAAACTTATCGAGTTATCGTAATGCATCGATTTCTTTCAACTTATCGAGTTATAGATATTTTTAGACCCACTTAAATTTGTCGATTTATCGAATCAAAGTTTTTGAAATTTTCAAAATATATAAGTTAACGAAATTTCAAGGTTATATAAATTTTTGGAGTTATCACTGCTTACCGAATTTTATCGGTTCACCAGAGTGTAACGAGGTATTGAAATTAGTCGATAGCTTTCAAGAGATATGGAGCTATCAAAATTAACCGAGTTATCGAAATATTTGGAGGTATACGAAGTTTATCGATTTATCGATTTATATCGATGTATACATTTTTGATTTATCGGGCCCTTGAAATGCACACTCATCGTGTTAGTGTATTTAAAATTCATTAAATTATCTATATGCAGCAAATTATCGACATTTATCGGCAAACTGGAATGCATCGATTCAATTCCAAGTTCTGCCAAAGTCGAAACGAGAAAAAAATTTTGGAAAAAACTAAACGGGAACTGAAGTTTAAGAAACTTTCTCACTCACGAACGACTTAAGACCCAAAACTTTCCTTGCACAGAAAATGAAAAAAAGTTCCATAAATGGGCAGTTCACCCTAATGATAAATGATCTGAAAGTTGAAATTATCCAGATTTCCTCTGGCTCTCACTGAAACGATGTTTCATTCCAATACGCAGACGTCCTTCTCATTCTTAACTTTCAATTCTCAAAACTTGTTCTTGTTTTGTTCTCTAGCAGAACGTTCCCCAGACTTTTATTCTTATTTGAGCTTGAAAACGTTCTCGACGCTTTTGTTCTCATCAGAAACACGCCAGAAAGTTTCGTTCTCATTCTGTTGTTCTTGAGAACGTTCCCGAGTGTTTTCTTCACATTTTGTTCTTTACGGAAACATTACCGAACCTTTAGTACTCATTTTGTTCTCGTTAAAATCGCTCTCAATACTTTTTCCCCACTTGGTTCTTTTATGAGAACGTTCTTGACTTTATATTTTGTTCTCATGCAGAACTGAACCAAGACTGGAACGCATCTCTGAATATTATAAGTACAGTTTTTCAATTACAAAGAAATGTATGTCCACATTTTTTAAGACCAGAAATGTATGTGCAATTTTTAATTGAAAGACAATTGGGATAACAGCCTAATAACTATTAAACATTTGTTAGGTTATATTTAATAACAAAAGTACACTTGTCGAAAAAAACTGTCCAAATTAAAGTTGTCAACTATTCCTTTCCTAGAATCTGAAAACACTTAAGCTACTGCAATGCAATCTTCAATAACATTATTTCGTCTTTTCTTTCTTCCCCCCTCTATTACACAGTTGTCCTATGGATAACGAGATTATGGGCCAATTCAACTATAGCAACGATCATTTGGCGGCTAATGTTACCTTCCCGGCACACAAGTTCCCCTACACCACATCCGTTTACTATCAGTGCAATGTGCATTTGTGCGCTTTGCAGGATCCCGAGTGCCAATTGGTGGGTATATGTACATATTAACATTGTCGATCAATTCTTAATTTTGCATACATAATTAATTTGCACTTGTTGTTTCAAATACTATTTACATATTTATTTATTTATTTTTAGCCTCCTGCGTGCAGCGGCAAACGACCCAAACGACAAACTAACAACGATAATAAAGACGAAGACGGCCAACCGGCCACCATCGAAGTCTACTCCGGTCTGTATGTGAACGAAAATGTTGATGTGTCCGAGAGCGATGATGATACAGTGCTCAAGGAGCGTGTAAGTACATAAATAAATGAATTAATTGAATATTCTTGAAATTCATGTAAAATTCAAAACTTATTTATTTTGCTTTTGTTGTTGCTGTTCTTGTTGTTGTTTGCTTGCAGACACTCGAGGATGCGTTATGCGTTTCGCAGCGCACCTTTGCCATTGCCATAGCAATTGCCGGTCTCATATTGATGTTGGCCGTCGTTGCCGCCGTATTATGCATTATGGCCCGAAGGAGCACGAAGAGTGTGTCGAATTCGGGCAGCTCCATATACAGTGGTCCCTACACGAATACAGCGTTCTCGCATAGCAGCTAAATGGAATGAACACACACACACACAAACACACAATACAACAAAGATGTGAACACAAAGTGAAGATACACATTCTCGATTGAAAAGATACTTCTTTTATATTTTTCTTTTTTTTGCGGACTTTAATTTTATTTTAATTTTGGTTTCACACACACACATACACATGAACACTCAAAGTGTTTTAAAGCAAAAGAAAAAATAAATAAAAATGATTTAGGCGGAATTTTGAGAAATTTCTTGTACACTGCCGCTGCAAATAAGCGCAGTTTGTAGTAGTCATTGTGTTTAGTTGTTAAGGTCACAAATATCGATGAGCAACAAATAAGTGAAAATAATTAAAAGCAATAGTTTTTTGTATAAAATATGTTAAGGGCAGAGCATCACCCAGAAAAAAAGAAGCAATAGCCCAAGAAGCTACATCTAGCCTCTCCTACGCAATTTCGCTACTCGCATCTGCTGCTTTTTTTTTGCTCTGACCCAAACTTGAGCTGCCCATAAATATGCAATTAATTAAATAATTAAAATAATTAATGTATCAACTTTAAGTTTATAAGTAAGCCACGACACACGCTTCCTTTAGAGAGTCTTTATACCCTATACCATATACACTCACGCACACATACATACATACTTACAGTCAGTATATGTAGATAGCGCAGATATTATTGGGCAATAATGAAATAAAAACCAAAACAAAAACCAGATGTGAATTAATAAAAAATAATAATTTTAAAATAGTATGAAAAATATTTGCCCTCTAATATCGCAAAGGTGCAACGCCTAAAAGTATGCCACTTGTCATAGCGCATGCTTGCAGGCAACTCCTTTGTTCAGCTAATACTCGTACTAAGTAGTTGAAGAAATTTAATCGTAAAATTTGAGAATATTTTTGGTGGTGGTCAATTTGCAACATTTAAGTGTGTAAGTTTAAACGCTTGGTTGGCGCGCTGCAACAAAACAGAAAAGTGGGGCAAAGCCCTAGAAATACTATAATTTATTCTTGTTTTTTTTTTTATAAGAATTTTGTACGAACAACGAATGCGCTCAACCTGCTCAGGTGATACTATTAACTATTAAATCTAATATACATACATATATTTAAATAATTAACCTAATTTCCTTATGACGATGTGAAATTGTTTGTGCGTATTGGAGAACCAAAGTTTATCCATTGCTATTTAAAATAAAATTTAATTTTTGCACTACCAGTTTAATGTGAGCAAACAAAAACTACGTAAATAAATAAATAAATCAAATTTGAAAGAGGCGAATAATTAAACGACAAATAATTATTTAATATTGTGTTTAAACTACGTACCATCTTGTCATTATAACTAAAACTTTATTATTTTAACTACTTACTTACTTAAACTAAACTGTCAAATCAAATTTAAACAAAACTAATTTATTTGTTAAAAGTTTAAGTCTAAAATGTATGTGTTTATAGAATTGAAAATTGTAAAGTGTGTCGTTATGGCGTGAAAATAAAAATTTAAAAAACTTACTTATAAAATATGTGAAAGTAATAAAGGCCCTTAAAATAAACCGTCCAGTAAAATATTTTCCTTAATTTTATTGGGTGGATTAGAAAACTTGAAAGTCTATTTCTTCCTAGGTCAAACTCGCGCCAAAAAATCGAATAAAATGTGTTTTGCCAAAAGAATGGAAGGTGCAGAGGCATCAATCCTAAATTTTAATCAGGGACCGAGAATAAAAGGTATGTGGTTCTCGTGGTTTTGTCCCCAAGATTGCTTAAAGACCCAAACCGAAGTGAGAACAAAACGATTGGAAGTGTTTTTACAGGAACGAAAGTGAGAATTATATAAGAATAAAACTTTGTGGAATGTTCCCGAACAAAAAGTGAACGATACTTTCGAGAATAAAAGTCGCCGGATTGTTCTGCCAAAGAACAAAATGGGAGCAAAATTCTACAGAACTTTCTCTTCAATAACAATTTGGAGATTAAAGTCTCAAGAACTTTCTTAAAGAGGACAAATCTTCTCTGAACCATTCGCGAAGAATGGAAGCGAGATCAAAATTTTTCTTAGAGCGGTTTACTATGTAGTTTGAAATGCTTGAATATTAAAATTTATCAAAAAATAACTGAGATATAAATATGCAAATTAACGATTCTGGCAACTGTCTTTCAACTCACCACAGTCTTTCGAAAGACAAAAGTCTTTCGTAAGCCAATTGTTAATTCTGGTAAATATCTTAAAAGCACTGCTTAGTTTGCGCTTAGTTTTTATGCATACGGCCCATTGTACATGGTAGTCTTCTACATATTTATTTATTTAAGTACTTACAATTAAATCCAAGCCAGTATTGTAGTTACATATGTACATATATAACTTCGATTGCATCATATTAGATATTACATACTCAATGCCGGCACCTAACTGAGGAGAGATGCCGACCACATTTCCACATAGACAACTGAGTGACAGGAAGAATAGCCAATTTGCTCAAAATGAATGACATGCATGCAACATGATTTGTGCGGAGGATACAATTAATTTGTACAGCTGGTCTTGCAACGATCCGCATGCATTATTCAAAATAATTTTAAGTGAAATGTGGTCAGAACAAGTTTTTGCTTGCTTACTCTTTCTTTTAGTAGGCATAAATCTGAATAAAACTGCTTGTACACGCAAATCGCATTTGGATCACTTAAAATTTAGCCTCGTACGCACTTGCCAACGCTCTACAACGGCTGCAATTGCCTATGAGAATGTAGTTACTCTTGAAGATTGTGTGCGTGCGGCGAAGTCGGCACGCGGTCTGGCTTTGAATTTTGGCACAAGTGCAAGAGGCAAATATAAATTGAAGGGGAGTGAAGTATTTGAAATACTACTTACTGAACAACAGCTAGAGCAAAGTATAAAATACAACTTTTTTGTAAATCAGTACTAAAATATCAAAACTAAATTTATCCTCGCAGTAACGCGTCCGAATGAAAGTCGCTATAGTGAAAACCGTCGGAGTATTTGGCAGCGCCCGCAGGAGCATTTCAATTGTCACATACTCGCATGTCCGGAGAACAATACAATGCGCAATCTGGTGAATGACAGTCGTTATGACTATTATAGTTTGTATGGCGAGCCAGTGGGTGAGTGGGCGATAAGTTATGGCTTCGTTGATTAGTAATAAAAAAAAAAACTGCAATTCACTCCCTATTAGCATCTCTCAACTATTCCTGCGTTCCTCAAGTGGGCTTATTTCAACTACAAGTAGCACCTGCTAATTTTCACAATGCCACCCAAAATTGCCGCAATACTGCAATTGTTGGTGGCGTGGCCAACTTGGCACACGTTGCCTCGGCAGCTCGGACAAATGCTTTCGCAGAACTTCTACGAGTATACAATAAAAATGCACGACAGCACATATTGGCTTACGTTGGCCTGCACTTCAACCGAACGTACAATAGCCAGCCTATTGAGTACATTAATATGGAAGAGGAACCCCTACGCTGCTTTCAGTTTGCGGCTTGGGCGCCGGGACATCCACATACTAGGTAGTAATTTCTGAAATATGTGCTTTTGAAACTTGTATAACTACATATTTAGATTACCTTTAGCAGCACCCAGTTTGCCAATGTAAGCTGCATTGCTGTGACTCTTGAACGCACTTGGATGACAGTGGACTGTGAACGGGAGCTTCCTTTTATTTGCGAGATATACACTTCGAGGGGTAACATAAACGAAACTTCAATAACAGCAGGCACATGTGCGCCTAGTACTTAGACATGAAACACAATATTAATTTTATTAAACACTTTTATTAACACTATTGGATTAGCATATGTATAAAAATTTATTTTCACTCAAAGCCAAGGCACATTCAATATGCCTAGCTAGAAGCATAAAATAACCGCGAAACTAATCTACATTTCCTGTCGGATGTATTGTTGTAATTTATTAGTGTGCAACTAGTTACCGGTAGGTGCCGCCCGTCAACTAATTATGCTGTCAAATATTTAACAACGGTTGGCAACGCGGCTTAAACAGCTGTTCTGTGATTTGGAATTGTCATTCATTCCTTTTTCGATTTGCATTGCACCGCGTGTATTTGCTGCGCAACGCAATCGCTTTGATTTTTTAATTTCTCTCGTGAAAAAATATAATTTTCATATCAAAATGAGTTTGTACAACTTTAAGAAGATTATGGTGGTCCCGCCAGCAAAGGTACGTACCGAAAAAGTGCTTCGATTTCAACAAAAACCAACGAGGAAATTGGTGTTCACGCTGTGCTTGTGGAACCCCCTGGACATAACCTCATTCCACGTCGCTTTTTTTGTGTTTACAAACACTGTAAATTAATTATTTACTAATATCGACAATTTGTTTACATTAATAATGGCAGGACTTCATTGATATAATGTTGTCGAAGACCCAACGAAAGACTCCCACTGTTGTGCACAAGGGCTACAAGATTTCGCGTATTCGTGCCTTCTACACACGCAAAGTCAAATATACACAACAGAACTTTCATGACCGTCTGTCACAGATAATACAGGACTTCCCGAAACTGGACGATGTGCATCCCTTCTATGCTGATTTGATGAATGTGCTGTACGATAAGGACCATTACAAATTAGCTTTAGGTCAACTCAATACTGCCAGGCATCTCATCGACAAGTAAGTAATTCTACAAATGCTTTTAAAGACATGACTAAATTGTAATTTCTTTGCTTAAAACTACAGTGTCGCTAAGGACTATGTTCGTTTATTGAAATATGGCGATTCGCTTTATCGCTGTAAACAGCTGAAGAAAGCAGCTCTGGGTCGTATGGCAACCATTTTAAAGAAGCAAGCAAGCAATCTTACATATTTGGAGCAAGTGCGTCAACATCTGTCGCGTTTACCCACAATTGATCCCTATTCGCGGACGATAATAATTTGCGGTTTCCCTAATGTAGGCAAGTCTTCGTTCATCAATAAAATTACGCGTGCCGATGTAGAAGTGCAGCCTTATGCTTTCACCACCAAATCGTTGTATGTTGGGCACACAGACTACAAATATTTGCGCTGGCAGGTGAGTTAAATTATTCAATTAGTTTGGTAAAAGCATAAAATATTTTCGGATTTCCTTTAAGCAAAAAGTGGAAAATTAGAAAATTAAAAATTTTATGAGAAATTTCATAGTTCAATTACTGGGTAAGAAAAGTTCTGAATCTTGATTTGATACATTTTTCAGTTAATGGAAATGCACTTTTTAATAAATTATTATTTTATTAGCAAGACAGTCGGTTATAACTTTTTAAACGTGTTTTAATTTTTAGGTTATCGATACACCCGGTATATTGGATCATCCATTAGAGGAACGCAATGTCATAGAAATGCAAGCCATTACAGCACTAGCCCACTTGCGTGCCTGTGTTTTGTACTTTATGGATATTTCCGAGCAGTGCGGGCATTCACTAGAAGAACAAGTGCAACTCTTCGAGAGCATTAAACCTCTGTTCACAAATAAGCCACTGATATTGGCGATCAACAAAATCGACATTCTTGGTCTTGAAGATTTGTCAGAAGAACGTCGCGCTATTATTACCAAATTGCAAGAGGATAAGAGTGTGCCGGTCATGTTCACTTCTACCGTAAATGAGGAAGGCGTAATGGAAGTAAAAATGGAAGCCTGCGAGCGTCTGCTCTCGTTCCGTGTTGATCAAAAGATGCGCACAAAAAAAGTAGATAATATCCTAAATCGTCTGCATGTAGCAATGCCCACGCCGCGTGATGAAAAAGATCGTGCGCCATGTATACCCCAGCAAGCACTGGCTCGTCTTGAAAAGAACGCGGAAAGAGCTGAGCGTAAACGTAAACTTGAAAAAGAAATCGAAGAGGAAATGGGTGATGACTATATTTTGGATCTACAGAAGAACTACAGCGAAATACCCGAAGAGGAACGCTACGATGTTATACCAGAATTTTGGGATGGCCACAATATTGCCGACTATATTGACCCAGACATCTTCTCGAAATTGGAAGAACTTGAACTCGCAGAGGGTATTCGTGAAGAAGGCGGTGTTTATGCTCCACCTGATATGACCATGGATGAGACACTGAAGGAAATTCGCGAAATTGCGAAACAAATTCGCGGCAAACGCTTCCAGTTGCGCGACGACCGCCGCTTGGCTTCCAAAAAGAATAAGCCGGCGATGCCACGTCACAAGCAGCCGAAGGTGCGTGATCGTTCGGTGGCTAAATTGCGTGAAACAATGCAGAACCTTGGTGTCGACATGTCTGGTACCGAAAATGCTAACTTTACTAAGTCGGTTGTCGATCTCCGCCGCAGTGTTGTGGCAGTTGGTACGAAGGAGTTAAAGAAACCATTGCTAGACAAAGAATCTTCGGCTATAGTGAAAAAGACCGGGCAGCCACTGAAACGGGCGCCATCTCGAGACACATTGGGCGTTAAGAATGTGGCGATGAAGAAGAAGGCCCAACTGATGGCGAAACGAGACATTGCTAAGAAGGTGACACGACTGGGATTGAAGGGCGAAGCCGATCGTTTCATCGGTACCAAGATGCCCAAGCATTTGTACTCTGGCAAACGTGGTACGGGTAAAACGGACAGGCGTTAAGCGTTTACTCAGAGTAATTGGGCGGGCAATATGTAGACAGCATAAGCTCTTATTTTGAATTATATGCATATGTAAAACACGAGAAATATGATTCTACATTGAATATTGAAACCATCTATTGTATTTAATTAATAAATATGTAAATTTGAAATACCAAATATGTATGTTGGTAGATTTCACAACAAACAAGATTGTTTAGTTTAGGCTGTCTTCAGAACTGCGAATACTTGATAAGCGGTGCTCAGGACCTGCAACCAAAATATGAACAGTCCTTAAAGATTATAATTATGCTGAAAGGCGTTTGACAAGCTTACTTACCTGTTTTAGTGTAATTAGCGAGACGTCTGCTATACCAGCTACATTTAAAGCAATGGGCTTATGTGTGCGAAGCATCATTATCAGGACCAATCGCTTGTATGCCGGAGAGCCAAAAGTCCAATCATGAGCGTAAAGCACATCAAACACACGTGAGCTCTACCAACAACAGAAATACATTTAATGCAATATAGTTAAAAGCGTAAACGAACCCAGCACTTACGCTCTCTATCAGTTTGTCGCCATAATAACAAGTGATAACCACTTGTTTCATTTCATAACAAAGCAGGAGTAGCACTTTCGCTCCGAAAACGAAGGATACATCGCCCAATAGCTGATAGGCACTAAAGCATAGTATAAATGATGAAGAGGCCAAACTGAAAATGATTGATGGTGCGAATATGTCGTTCACATCTTGTGCTAGCCTAGACAGTAACAGAGATAAAATAAATCTATACACTGCACTAACCATCACTCACAGCAAAATTGTTTGATGGTATTCGATGATCGCTTTCAAAGCGCGCATGCTGCCTTTTTCAGCTGGTTGCAGTTCGAGTATACGCTGAGCTAACATATCCAAGTGCAATAATAATTGTGCAACCGTGTTATAGAGGCATAAATCAGCGCTTAATATAACTATGGCGGCACAACAACATGAAACACATTGAAGTGAGATATAAAATAGGTAAGCCAACAGCGATTCCTCCACTGACAGAGGATACCAAAACATTGCAGGCATGCGGTACGTGTACGCACCGGTAGAAAATAAATCGTAGAAAGAATGCGCAATAGGAAAAAGTAAATATGCAATTAATATATATACAAAGAAAGTGTGGAGGAAGGATTTAACGCGCGCGTAAATACGCAAGTAGCGACCAAGTTTATAGTGACGCTCCACAGCTACGCTAGGGTAAATACGCTCCAATTCGCAGTAATTTTTCAGTAGCAGTCCACGATTGTAGATTAGAGAGAATATCTTTCCGATAGCAACATTTGTATAATTCAGAATCCCAATAGCTTCAATTCTTTCGGAAAAGGTAAGTTCCGGTGTAAACAAATAAAGGAATTGATGTAGAAACAATATAATGATAGACACCATTGCTACAACTCTAGCGCACTTGATACTTAACATTTCCGGTGGCTGCAGGCATATGCCGATAAATTTGAAATATTTCACCGGTAATGAAGTGAAGCAAATGAAATTTGATTTTGGCTGTATGGCGTTCATTGCAAAAGAGTAAGTTAAAACAAAAACGGTATCGAGCCTAAAAAAATACTGTACTGAAAAGTTGGGAAATGTGACTTTTATAGCAGTCTTGCAAGGAAGAGGAACACACACACACACACACACCTTTAGTGGTTTATTTTTAAGATAGTGCAATTACGGTTTTTTACTCCTGTTTTAAAAATACCGTTAAACCCTAATTATGTCCACAGGTGAAGAATTTTTTTCTCCCACGTAATCGACAATCTATAACCGCAAAAAATTCAATGCCCCCTTGTTTCTCTCATATTAAATACGCACCTCTTACAAATAATGCACTGCTGAAAATACGTTTATACATTTATATAATTCAGCCCTCTCATATCTCCGCCATTTTATAATTTTATCGGTGTTTTTATAAACTTCATATCTGCACCAGAAAAAAGTTTACTCTTTGACCTATTTTTTCGACGATCACAGTGGTACAAAACTGGAATTTACTGTTCAAAAAAGTCTAGCATTTTAGACAATTTAATTAATTTTGAAATTTTCTTAAAGTAATAAATTTACGAGCATTTCTTTCTTGAGACTTGCAAACTGATTTAAGAAATTTTGATAGAAGAAAATTTCTTTTCCATTTCTTGTGCGTCATTTTATATGATTTATTGGTTTTTCTTGAGAGCTCTTAAAAGTTTAACTGTGAATGAAAATATTGTCCTAAAAATATGCAATGCATACTCACTTACTGTTGTTTTTTGCACTTTACAGCCTAAAAGAGTTTACCACTGATATGTACTTAACAAGGATTCGAAGATTTAATTTGCCAACTTCGAATTCGTTGCACCAAAATGAGCTGCATTATAAAAATACAAGTTGAGGTAGTTTTTTTCGGTATTCGCAATATTAAAAAATGAGGTAATAGTGAAGAATCACCATCCGCATCGAAAACCAGAAATCGAGGAAAATGAACAATTTGGAAGATCGACCTATCTCGGCAGCCAGTTCGAAAACGCTCTATCTCAAAAAACTTTTTACATTTTGAAGTGAGATAGGGCATTTTTGAACCGAATTTTGAGATAGGGTGTTTTTCAATTAAATTCTGAAATTGGGCGTTCTTGTAAAGTTTTTTGAGATAGAGCGTTTTCGAACTGGCTGCCCAGATAGGTCGATCTTCCACTCAGCCATCGATCTAGTGTTTATAGAACTTTATACCAAACAAGTAATTTTCAAATTACGGGACGACCCTTGAACTACCATCTTTCCGATAAAAAAAGAGTTATTGAAATCGTGGTCCAAAGTTATGTAGTCGCATACATAAAAAAAAGAAAAAAATATTCCGACGAATTGATAACCTCCCCCCTTCTTTGAAGTCGGTTAAAAATGTTAGAGTTCTTTGTTAATTTTATGTAAATAAAGTGCAATTTATGAAACTTCAAAAAGTTAATTTATTTATTACAGAATTTTCAGAAGTAAACCCCTCCCAAAATTTATTCCTGGGTGCGCCCCTGATTCAAGTATAAAAATTTAATACTCAAAAAATTTTATTTTTTTTTCTCGGAAATACCACTGTTCGGCGCCTTAATGAAGAGCTTAAATGTGTGTTATATGTAACCACATTTCATGAAATGATTAAGTGAAGTAAACAAACGCACAAACGTACTAAATATTGCAAAATTTTATACAGAAAATACTAAAAAGAAGAAAAAAAATAAACAAAAAACTTTTTAATAAACCACTTTCTTTAAATGAAAAAATATTTTTACTTTTCATACCGATTCAAGTCTATAACATATAAATCTCATCAATTGTTTACATATAATAACTTTTGCCAAAATTCTTGAATCAAAACTTATCAAGAATATTCTATGGATATAGGAGAAATTATTTGTTTACTTTTTAGTTCATTTATACAAATGTGGTATATTTGATTTATATTATGTAACATTTATTTACAACAACAGGGGAATTAATTTTCTTCAAAATTGCTACTTTCTCTGCACTTTGCACACAAAATTTATTTATACTAATATAAGAAATAAAAATTAAAAAATCGAGCTCAATTCAATCTGTTCTAAGTTTTATACGCTATCATTAAATTAAATAAATTAAAATTAAATCGGTGAAAAATGAAGGCTCTGGATTCTTTTGAATAATAAATTCCAGTTTGACACCACTGTGCTTTGGGGGAAGTGTAACCTCTTGAAGGTTTTTGAAAAATTATACTAGTACATACAGTGTTATCTGGCTGGAGCGAACACCCGATGCTACGAACACCTCGAAAGAGTGAACATGAAAATTTTTCCATTGAGTACTCTATAGAGTGAACAATTTTGAGTCTTTGTAGAGTGAACAAAAATTAAAACCAGTTCCTTCCAAGTTCAAAACTGCAACGACAATTTTAATAACAAAAAGGCTAATCACGAATTGGGAAATCAGGTGTATGCTCGTATATGTTCGTCAAAAAATGCCACCGTTCACGTAGGTGAGCGTAAATTCCGCAGGGTTGTCACTGGCCGCTTCTTTCCAGCAGGATGCATTTCGGACCCCCGTCCGAATTTTCTTGCTGAAGCGGAGCGATGAGCGAGCTATTTTAGCCGACAGTTTATACTACATCCTCCAGCAGACAAAGCCAAAGGTGGAGTAACCAGAAGACTGCACAAACCGCCAGCACCAAGTGCGCCTCTTGTTTTCACCAGCAGCAAAGCAAGGATAGCCATAGGAAAGGTGAAAGCCTCCAAAGCCATTGGACCCGACGGAATTTGCATGCTGATGCTGAAAAATTTGGCTCCTGCTGGAGTGAACTATCTAACTAAGGTCCTCNATCCTCAGAGTAACCTTCGAAAGGGGTTCATAAAACTACCTGCGGACCCAACAGCTTACCGACAGCCTTGAACGGCTTTCACAGAGAGCTAGTCCCGAGTTATATAGACTCTCGACCAGTGAATGCCTTTCTGAGAACGCAACCACCAGACGTAGACGAGACAGAGTCTGCCTCGGGAGACTCGGACCACCATAGCCCAACTTGTTGAACTCATACCTGAGCAGAATAAATGCTGATGTGCCAAATAAATTCCCGGCATTCAGAGAGACGCCCGATTACTCGCACCATCTTTTCGCATGCCCACTGAAATCCACCCTGCTAACGTCTCTAGCCTTATGGACGGATTTCATCGAGGCTGCACGCTTCCTGGGTCTACCGCTAATAGAGCTTGACGACAACGATACAACAACAGCAAGAACAAGAAACATGTGTTGGCATTAGCTGTGGGAAAAGAAGACATTTCAGAGTTCTTAAAAATGTAACTTTAAAAGATGCACTGCGCTTTTGTCAAATGCATTGAATGGGCTGAAGTCAATACTACAGATTTTTCAAGCATTTTGACATTTCAGAGCCTGAACGCAAAAAACACACGGTTATAATAACTTTCTTTTATTCTTAATATGTGACTACTTTTTAAAGCAATAAAATGTATTTTAATGAACAAAAAACTCAATCTGGATCTAGTGAACAATCTGTTTTCTATGAACTGGTCTTGCATTAATTAGTTCACTCGACCCAGATAGCACTGTACATTCATATGCTTACATGTAAGTATGCACTTTTTGTTGCTTCTCCTAACACCCAATTAACTATGTAGTTGTATGTCAATAACAACCCGCCCTAACAACCGGTTTGCTTTATCAATTTAGCTGTGTTTTGCAAAAAAAAAAAAAATATAAATACTTAATTTAAACAACTTTTCTTTGAATTTGGTTTGAAATAAAAACTTGCATAAGAAATGTCAAAAGCCACAACAATCAAAGAAGCTCTGAAACGTTGGGAGGAACGTGAACAACAAAGTGCCGTTGAGTCAAAAGTAATCGAGTTACAATTTCAATGGCCGCCAGTTGAGAAAATGGACAATACGCTTAGCACATTGATCAACTGTGAGTAAGTTGAGTACAAAAAAACATATGTAAATATGTATCGCAAAACGAATGAAACACATTAATCAATTTTACAGACGTCTCAGCTTGTCCACGAATATGATAGAGAAGATTTTCGGTTTGAATGGCATGAAAAATTTGCGTGTGCTCTCGTTGTCGCGAAATTATATTAAAAATGTCTCAGGATTGGTGAGTTGTTTTCGTTGAAATTTTATTTATACTTTTTTTAAATAAACTATTTCTTCATTTTATCTCAGGAGGCAGTCGGCGATACGCTCATCGAATTATGGCTTAGTTACAATTTGATCGAGAAGCTGAAGGGTCTCTCAGTCTTAAAAGCTCTTAAAGTGCTTTATATAAGCAATAATTTAATTAAAGATTGGAGTGAGCTCAGCCGTTTACAAGAGTTGGAAACCCTCGAGGACCTGGTGGTGGTAGGCAATCCTATATCCGAAGGCATGGATGAGACAACATGGCGCGCAGAATGTATAAAACGTTTGCCCACAATTCGGAAATTGGATGGTGAACCGGTGGTGCTGAACGAGGAGCCAACTTTGTAAATTAAATAGTTACATATAAATATGTTTAAAATCATACGGAGCTGGATGTTAGAATTTTTTAAAAGTACGTTCGGATTTACGAAAGAAAAAAAATTACCAGTAGTTATTTGCACATAGGGAAAATTCACCTACTTTGTCGAAATTAGATAGAAAAGGGAAGCGAATAATGAATGAACGAATTCCCTCCTGTCATCGAACAAGCAGCGTCTAGGCACCCATATTACTGTTGACAGTATCATTTCAAAACAAGTAAGGGATTTCGTTTTTTAGGAATCAGCATTAATACCGATAACACTGTAGGGAAAATGTTAAGTTTTGAGATGGAACAAAAAAAAAATGCTGAAATACGTAAACTTAATTTGAGTCGTCGATTAAGGATCTATTTTTCCGTTTTCCAGATCAGGTCATTTTCCAAGATATCTTCATTTTTATGGGAAAAAAAATTAAGAACGAAAAAATTTAAAAACTCATACCTTTTTTGTAATTTTTTCTTATTTGTGTAAAAGCTATTTATTTTGCCGAAAAATTAAGCCACTAATGATGAAAATCGGTGGCTAAAGAAACCACTTTTGCATAGTGAAATGAAAATGTAATAATTTTTAGTATGAAATAAGTAGAAGCAGGAAATAATGTTACTCATACGCCATATCGTACATGGCCGTACTCGAACATAATCGTATGAATAAACTTTTGAAGTGTCGAAAAATGGCGAATTTCAATCTTTTTTTTTGAATATAATTTGGACGTAGTTTTTCCGAAGAAAATCACTACGTTTTAATGAAAACCCAATTCATCTGATGGATTCTATCTCATGTCGATGGATTGAGTAGAAGGGGGTGAAAAATTAAAAAAAAAAAAAAACTCAGTTCCTCAACGGCATGCAATTGGTTTCCCACAAATACGAAAATCTCTGTCTATGAATTTTTTTTAAAAACAAACTGATTTCATGAACAAATCAATATCCCAGATTCATGATTAGCCAGTATTTCGTCTCTTAACACTTTCCGCGTTCTGGAATGAAATCCTCAAAAATATTTTTTTGTGGATTGCATTATCATCGCTTTTTAAGGTCCAGCAATAGTCAGCAACCATGTGTAGGTTTTATTTCCGATCATACCATTTCTCCATAGTGGCTATGCCCTCGTTCGCTATGTTCTTTGCTAATGTTTTTTTTACTAAATGTTTTATAATTTTTCGGAAAAACTACGTCCAAACACCATTTGTAAATATTTTTGCCACTTCAACAGTTTTTTTTCTCTCAAAAACTGCACGTGCTTAAAAAATTTTGTAAATGCACTTCAAATCAGCATCAAAAAATCTATAAGATGAGGTCGGCTCGTTTTTGGGATAAAATACGACGAAATTTTGTTGATCTGTATTATTAGCCGTCAAATTTGTTGTGGTTGAAAAGTTATCGCTTTAATCTGAGATTATTTTATATTTACAGATTAATGAGATACAAGTTTTGTATGGCTTATTATACAGAAATACAGAAATAATTTAAACAGAAATAAATTTTAATTGTTAAAAGTTTTATTTCTGTTCCCAGGCACTTGATTATTATGTGGCTTTCAATGCAGCTGACCCTCTAATTTTCGCCCACAACAAAACGATTTATTGTAATTGCAAAAAAAGCAAACATGTACTTTCAACCTAATCGCGCCTGAAAAGCCACTCATTATTTTGCAATTTTAGCGCAAAATGAGAAATTCAAAATGAAATATTGTTGCAAGCATTAATGAACACTCAAAATGTCAACATAGTGAAGTGGGCAAAAGTTGCATTGAAATGGAAAGGGAAATTTTAATTTGAATCGCTCAAACTGCAAAAAATACCCACTCGACCGTAAAAGTCCAAATAAAATGAAAAATGGAACAAAAAATAAAAATTTGCATGATTGCGGTCAATTAAAGTGCCATTATTTGTTGGTTTAAAATTTTTTGTTGTTTTACTAATGCAAATATTTCGTTGTACAGTTTCGTATTACTTGCTGCAATTATATTTATGTATGTGTGTATGTTTTAAAGTATACATAATTAACAAGTTTTCAGCCAACTAAAACAGAGGATTTTCGCTTCCACCAATGCAATGCAATGAACTTGAAAATTGAAATGAAAAATGGAAAATGGATGTGAAAATAACGAATTAGCGGCAAGGATATGCAAAAACCGCTCCAGAAATGTATAAAATGACTGGGATTTGATTGCTTATAATAGCAATTACAAAAGTGAAGAGCAACGAGTGGGCGGTAATCAGCCTTACCGAAAATAAATTGCGCAGATTTTTTTACAGCCCTAACACTGTCTGTGTCTGTGCGCGCATCACTCGAAAACTAATGCATGGAATTGAATGGAGTTTTCACCTATGTATTGCTTGAGGTCTAATTTAAAATATAGAAAGCAAAAAACTTGGAGAGTTGCCACCTCTTTGAAAATTGCAGTTAAACTAAGTTGACCAGATAAAGTAAATATGGCGATATGCCTGTCAAAATAAAGGCTTACAGCCGAAAGATTTTCTTTTAAGGTTGCCACCTGCTTGGAAATTTTAATTTAATTTAATTGATAAGGTGAGTTGAATATTGCAATATGGGTATCCAATTGAAGAGGTTTAGGAATGTTTAATAATAATAATAGATTGGCGCTTACACATATGTTAGTGTTTGGCCGAGCTTCTCCTCAGATTTGTGGCGTGCGCCTTAATATTCTCCCACAAAGCGGAGGGACCTACAGTTTAACGCCGACTCCGAACGGCGATTGTATTTTTATGAGAAGCTGTTTTCCATGGCAGAAATACACTCGGAGGTTTGCCATTGCCTGCCGACGGACAACCGCTGTTAAGAAAAAACTTTTTTCTATATTTTTTGCGATGTTGCTTTGACCAGGGTTTGAACCCAGGCGTTGCGGAGTGGAAGCGCGCACTGCTTACCACCACACCACAGCGGCCGACAGGAATGTTTACTGCCGGGAATATGTTTGAGGAGGGTTGCCACCTTTGAAAAATTTAATTCAATAAATTGATAATAATAATAATATCACACCTAGATCTAAAGTGAGCTAACTAAAAATTCATAGAGGGAAATTTAACTGCTTGTGGATCGTACAGATTCAACGCAATTAATACAAAAAACAGGCACAACAGTAGTTTTTTGCCCAATTGCCCAATTTTTTTTTTTGAGTTGATTGCACTTTAGATCTAGGTGCGCGATATGTCAGTGTTTGGCCGAGCTTCTCCCTCGATTTGTCTTCTGCGCCCTAAATACAAGTCAAAAGTTACTTGGAATTTTACCTATTTAAATTTAGTTTTGTGTTTAGCGAAATACATACAAGAACCGATACAAAAACTTCTGCAAATTCTGCAAAGTTCTGCTTCGTTTTAGAACTTATTTCTTTTTATAAGTTTTAATACCTTTCAGCGTCGCACGAGTGTTAATCGCCTGATCTGAAACCCGCGGAGAAGTCTTTTCCCATTTGAACAGAGCTGAAGTTTGTGCTCAACGCCACTCTACATAGCCGTATTCGTTGTGCGGTTATCCCAAATGTAGATAGCTTCCAAAAATAATATGGTGTGTTCCGATTTGACGTGCTCTTAAAATCTGGTCAATGATGCAATTACCAGGTCTGACACTACTTTGATAAGGTCCAATCAGTTGGTTCACAAAGGGCTTCAGTCTTGCACACAGTATCGTCCTGCGGGCCTCGGACGCAATACTAAGAGCCCTATTCCGCGATAATTTGCGCAACGGTCGTCTTGGTAGAGTGAAGCAACGTGACCATCGTTTCCATGCATTGACCTGGGTGTATGGGCTGTCGTTATCGCAATTCAAAAGCTTTAGAAGTGTTATTCTCAAACACCAAGTGTACTCTGGACATCTGCTACCAAATTTCCATCTTCGAGTCCCTCTCTTGCAACCATTTGACTGTTGTCCTATTTTCTGACACAGCTTACGAGCCGCATTCCTGTCTGCCTACATCTCAAGCATGTCGCTCTCTCACGCATATTTCTGCCTCTCGTTCCTTCCTTTTAAATAGACGCCTCTCCTCCCTCCTCTTCACCCAGTATCGCTCAGCAGTCGCTCGCGTAGTTATTTTCTGCAGCGTGGCTTTGTATGCTGCGTAATTCTCTGTAGAAGCAATTCGGCACTCTATTGAACTCGGCAAAAATCGCTTACAGCGCTAAATAAGAAAAAGGCAAGAGAAGATATTTTGAACTTTCCAAAGTGGATCACAGATGTCTGCATTTCGTTTACATACGACAACTTCACTTTATATTAAATTAAATATTTTAATATTTGCATTGCAAAATAACTAAATTAAGCTCTAAACTTTCTAACCCTCTCAATTTTCGAAAAATTGTAAGGAAATGGAGTGAGACAGTCTTCTCAAAAAAAAAAAAAAAACAATATGCAGGTATACAGTTAAGTTGGCTAGTGTATGCAGATTTGTTGGTATATTTTATCTTTAGCACCCAATGTTCATGTTGGGAAATCAATTATCCGCTTAGCAGCAAATACAATTTGAAATTTCATAAGCCGCAACAAAAGCAAAAGCGAGCAATACCGAAAGGGGATAACAATAAGGATTGCAATGAAATATGCAAATTTTATATGAAAAGTTTAGACAAACTTTTTAAACATTACGGAATGTTCAAATCACATCGGCCACAAAGCCACAGAGGGGCTGGAAAAATATGTAGAATATTTCCGGCATGAAATGTTTTTATAACAACCAAAACGAGTAGACAAGAAGAAAAGAAAAAATTTAATACACAGGGCCATATAAAAAGTCTCCGCGGATTTTTGGGTAAATTTGGCAATTTAAATGTTCTTCAAAATTATATTGACCGTGATTATCTATGACTTTTTGCCATTTTTCGGCTAGCTTCCGCCTACGGTGTGGAATGTCTGTGGTTTGTCGGCGAAAAATTTGGTTAACTACTTTTCTGTTTGCCAAATCTGGTCTGGAGTTGTCCACAGTCGAGAACCAAGTGGATCGTTTCGCCGAGTTTTAGCAGTTCATATCAATCCGTCAATCCGGACAAAAATTTTACCAGAGAGAATTTCTCAGTATTTGAGCGATAAATAATTTTTTGGTCTGCCAGACAGTGATCGGAATAAAAAAAATCTGTGAGGTAGAATTTGTAAAAAATTTGGTACATCTCAGTTTTTGGATAGGTTATTATTTATTTACCGTTTTTTATGTATTAAGATACAGGAAATATAACAAGTATTTATAGTGTCGGACAAATAAATAGGGTTTGAAAAGTTTTGACTATTTTTATTTTGTTTGTTTAAGGTTTATTAAATTTTCAAAAAAGCTCATTATCTAAAAAAAAAACATATAAATACGTATTTCAAACTTTGTGCAAAAATTAGAAAAAACTCTATAAAGTTCCCCTAAAT